ACAAAAATAAATACATTTTATTGGAAAAAATAAAAACAGTTTAAAATTCTGGCATCCTGCCTTCACTTAACATCTGTCTCCTCTGTTTTAATTTGGGTCAGATTCCTATATAACTGCACATAAGCATGTTTATAATTGAAGGAGTGTCTGCCCTAGACAGAGACCAACCAGACCATACCCCATCAAACCTGCTTCATCACAAAGACCTCTCCCCTAGATAAGGACCAACCAGGCCACACTTCGGCAAGCCTGCTTTATCACAGACCTCTCACCCAGGCCCAGTCCTCTGTTTAAACCTGAAGCTCATGCCAGTGCCCTCAAAGATGAGAGAAATGTTTACCTCCCATATTCCCCAAATGGCTGTTTTAATTAAACTCCCTTTTTGCCTCTAGCTACGTATCATGTTGCATTCTAAGTATCTGAGCATTTTCATTGCAGCCAGCAAGAACAAACAAACAAACAAAAAGAAACCCCGCTGTGTAATGACTCCAGGTTTCTGTGTAGTGATAGGTTGAACCCAGGGCCTTACCAGCAAACACTCTGTCCCTGAACCACAGCCACAGCCTCCAGTTCACTCTTGGAAACCTGTATTAAATCTGTTTTGTCTCTATGAGATTTTCCCTATCCCTTAGAATCTACTAAAGTAACATTTCAAGTCTCCTTATACTAGACCTTTAAAGTTTAAGAGACCTTTAAACTTAAAAAAACTGGCCTAGATGTGGTAAATGCATGCCTGTAATTTCAGCACTCGGGAGGCAGAGGCAAAAGAATTGCCACATGTTAATGGCCAGCCTGGGCTACATAGTAAGACTCTACCTCAAAATAATCAAATGAATTTCAAAAGTGTTCCAACCTATGCATCTGTCTGTTTTCTGATTTCTATCTGTCTGATTTCATAGACAGGAATGCATAGCCAGATTGAGGGACTTGCCTCCCACAGGCTTCTGCCTCCGCACCCAGGATGAAGGGCTCATCCAGGAGCTGTATGGAACCTTTGCTGTGAGTCATGTTGGCACTGGTGAATGAAACAGAGATGAACAAGCATTGAAGTAAGAAATGGCGGTGTATGGCACACACCTTTAATGTCAACACTTGAGAGGTAGAGGCAGGAAGATCTCTGTGAGTTTGCAGTCACCCTGGTGAACACTGCAAGTCCTAGGCTGGCCAGAGCTACATGGTAAGTGAGACCCTGTCTCAGAAAGAAAGAGAGAAAGAGAGAGAGAAAGAAAGAGAGAGAGGAAAAAGGGAGGGGGGGAAATGTCAGCTAAGGTGGTGGTACATCTGTACCCTAACACCCAGAAGGTTGAGGCAGGAGGATCAAGGCCACCTTTGGCTACATATTGATTTCTAGGCCAGCCTGTGCTATGTAAGACTTTGTGTATATATATAAAATCATTCTGAGAAATTGGAATAGCTATCATGAAAGAGCCCAATGAGATGGCCCAGAAGAACATACTGGGATGTGGCATAAGCAGGGAGTCTCACAGGCAGGTAGGAAGGCCTCCCTGAAGAGGTGACATTTAAACAATTTAAACAGAAAGGCGAGAAAGGAGAAGCTGGGCAAGCACATTTCAAGCAGAGGCTAAGAGATGAATTTTTTTGTGAAAGGTACTAAAAGGCCAGATAGCCGCAGAGAGGCTGTAGAGGTACAGAGCAGACCTGGGAGACTGGATTCCAGTGCATTGGAGTTCCCACTCAGCAGAAGGAGCTGATTTAGATTCGGGGGTGAGGGACAAGGTTGTGAGATGGTCTCTCGTAGCACAGGCTAGCTTCAAATGTGAACTCCTGATCCTCCTGTCCACATGCTGGGATTACAGATGTGTGCCGTCACACCCAGCTTGGTTTGTTTTTTAGACAGGACTTTGGTCTCTACAGATGTAAAGACAGAAATAATTTGAATTTTACTAAATTTGGTCTAAAAGGGTAGCTGGTTTTTCCCCTAAGGTGATAGCTGAGATCAGCTTTGCAGGCGACTGACTGAGAGTTTCCGCCACTGTGAAAACCTTCCCACGGCTAAGTAAGTACAGCACAGAGAAGAAAGTTGGCCTTGGCCTACACGGAGCTGGGCAGATGGAGATACAGCCAGTGGACAGAGGCGGTGAGAGGGGAACTTGCCTCCCGTCACCTCTGGAACTTTCCTCGCCCTCCGTGTGCACAGCAAACCCAGTCTCCGATATTGTAGCCAAATCTTCAAAACAAACAAAACATAAAAACCTTGGATTTTTAAAATTGTGTGTGTGTGTGTGTGTGTGTGTGTGTGTGTGTGTGTGTGTGTGTGTGTCCCTATGAATGCAGGTTCCTGCAGATATAGAATCCCCTGGAGCAAGAGTTACAGAGGGTTGTGAGCCGTGGGTGCTGGGGCCTGTGGAAGAACAGTATGGGCTCTCAGCCCTGAGCTGCGTCTCTAGCTCCTGACTTACTTTCCAGTGAGCAGCATTGAGAACCTTTCTTTGAACTGTGATATTCAATAATGTTCTGGTAGCAGTGGGACCCCCAAAGGCTTCCGAATTTCGCAGAAGTTTCCAACCACAGAAAGAACCAGAGGCAGAAGAGTGGATGAGAACAGGAGAAACATCCCGGGGGAGGGATGGATACTGTACAAGCGGAGATGAGAGAAAACAGAAAGTTCCTATGAATCTTTGTAGGTGAGTGGTGGAAGTTTGCCCATGGCGGTAACACTTGGAGAAGTGGATAATGAAATCAGGAAAGGACCCAGAGTTAAGTTTAAGTGGTGCTAGAATTCAGGGCCTCTGTCATGGTGGGCGGGTTCCTTTCCTATTGAACCACACTGTCAGTGCCAGGACCCTGGCCATCAGGAAGCCATATCTGATCAGTGCACACAGTAGGTTCATTATGTAAACATCTAAAGGATGGAGGAAAGTGTATTGGGGTCTCTCAGAGATGAGGAAAACCCTGAACAAGTTGTCTCCAACCATGGAGTTCATTTTTAAGCAAGTGTTGAATGTTTTACTAAGCCCTGACTTAATACAACAAACTGGTCCAAGAAAAATATGACCAAGACATGCTCTTTTGTTGGCCAAATAGAATGTGACATATCCATACATTAGCTTTGTGAGACAGTCTCATAGGGTAACCCTGGCTGCTCTCCAGTGCTCAGTCCCCCTTCTCGCTCCTGAATGCTGGGGTCACATAGAGACCCAGCAAACACAGCAACTCTTCAGTGTACTACTTGGAAAACTCCACATTCAAATGTTAAGAAATCAAGGTGTAATCCCAGCCCTGGGGAAGGAAGAGGCATGAGGACCAGAGACAACATCATCCTCTACAGATGGAGTTCCAGGCCGCTCCGTGTTCCCTGAGACCCTGTCTCACAAGAGTAAATAAACAGGGCTGAAGAGATGGCTCAACTTTTACTGCTTTTGCCGAGTTCAGTTCCAAACACCCCAGTCAGGCAGCTCACAACCACCTGTAACTCCAGCTCTTTGAAGGCCCTGTACCCACATTTGTACATTCCCCCACACAGACATGCACATATATACAAAGTCAAAAATATTTTTAAAAGCACTATTAAAGTATAACGAAGGGCTGGGGAGTGTGCTCTGCTTCTGAAGAAGTTTGCAGAGTCCAGGCCTAGCACACATGAGGCCATGTTCCACCCCAGCTCCACAGAAACCAACTCCAGCACGTTTTTATAATCCTACCACTATTGGGGGAGGTCATCATTGATACATGAGTCAAAGCCCAACCCAGCTACATGAGGACCTGTCTCTTAGAAAATTGAGGAATGGGGCTGGAAAGATGGCTCAGTGATTAAAAATACTTGCTGCTCTTCCAGAGGACCAGAATTTGGTTTGTAGCACCCACATGAAGGGGCTCACAACTGCTTATAACTCCAACTCTAGGGAACCTGATACCCCCTTCTGGGCTCCAGGGCACTGCAGTCCTGTGGCATAAACATGAGTTTAAAAATAAAATAACCTGGCATTGTAGTGCACACCTTAAATCCTAGACCTTGGAGGCAGAGGCAGGTGCATCTCTGTGAGCTTTTGGCCAGCCTGATCTACATATTACATTCCACACCAGCAAATATCGGACTTTTATGAGTTTGGGGAACTGATGAGACGTTTCAGAACATAGAAATTACTTCAACATGGAGTATGTGACACAGAGTATGGAAGAACCAGGAATCATAAATTGAGAGCTGTAAAGTCACAGACTGTCTCTCCCAGAAAGAGCTAACAGGGACGCTTGATCCCTTCAGGCTGAGGGACCCGGCCTTTTAAAGAGTAACCCCTGCCAGGTGTGGTGGCACATCCTTCAATCCCAGCAGAGGCAAACAGATATCTGTGAGTTCGAGGCCAGCCTGGTCTGCAATGGGAGTTACACAGAGAAACTCTGTCAACAACAAAAGGTGACCCCTGTCATAAAGTAGCAGCTGTGTGTTCTAATAGTTGTCTCTTTTTAAGCAATTTGTAGCCAGACATTCTAGTGCATGCCTATGATTCCAACATCCTCAGCCAGCTGAGGTAGGAGGATCAGGAGTTCAAGGCTAGTTTTGACTTCTTTGTAAGTTTGAGGCCAGCCAGGGCTACAGAAGGTTGGAGAAATCCCTCAGAGGTTATAAGCACTTGCTGCTCTTGTAGAAGACCCGAATTCTTCAGATCAGACACCCTCTTGTGGCCGCCTGGGGTTCCTGCAGTCAAGTACTGCACATACAGACAAGTAGACATACAGGTATATAGGTAAGTTTTCCAAAGAAATTAAAGGTGGGTGGGCACTCACCTTTAATGCCAGCACTTAGGAGGCAGAGGCAGACAGATCTCTGTGAGTTCTAGGCCACCCTGGTCTACAGAGCGAGATCCAGGACAGCCAGGGCTGTTATACAGAGAAACAAGCAAACAAATTAAATACGTGCACTATATATTTCTATATATTTTTAAAAGGGAGAGAAAGTGGGGAAGGAGGGAAAGGGAAGGTAAAGTGAACCAGTCAGTCCTCTGATCTGGAACCTTTGGACTAACTGTGGAATTGCCTACTCCCCACATCTTTTTCTCAGCCTGTCTTCCCGTGCCTTAACATTTTCTAAAACTGGAGAAGACAAAGGGAAAAAGTTCGAAGGGAGCAGAGTTTGGGCTCATGCCCTGTTTCCTTGAGCTGTCCTCTGTCATTAAAGACGTGTCCTTCCAAAAGAAAGGCATCTGTTTCCAGCCCACGCAGACCTAAACTTTTTCTCATCACGTGCCTGACCAGAGCCAGTCGGCAGCCATGTAATGTGATCACCAGGGCCAGCCTCCTGACCCACCCAAGCTGAGCCGGGTGACAATAAGGTTACCCTGTAGAGCTACGCAGCAGCCACACACACAAAAAAAAAACCCAGAAGCACTACAGGCTGGACCTGTGGCTTGGAGACAGGGAACAGCCCTCTGCAGAGGTGAGCAGGGGACTGTTGGGAGGGGACTCTTTGGGAAGGCCAGGATACATCCAAGTCCCCCTCTGCCATCAGCCTGCCCTCTCCCCTCCTCCACAGGTGAAGTGTGCCTGGGCTGTCCTCTACCTGTTTCTCACGGAGTCAGCACCACCTGCCTGTGTCTGCCCCCTCTGTCTCCTAATAATGTCGCTTTTCTCAAAACTGACGGAGCTCTAGTGAACCGGGTCTACTTCTAAAGCTGGTAGGGAACAGTTCCCAAGAGGGAAGTGAAACTGGAAGAGACTGTTGGGAGGCAACCCTCGTCCTGGCAGGACTGCAGCGAGCTGCCATACTCCCTCCGGGAGGATGTGTGTATGTATGGGCTGCGAGCTCGTCAGCCAGGTCCAAGTGCCTTCAGTACAGCAGCGGCTCCAGGTTTTGGACGACGATCGGTACGTCCAATGGCCTCAAGGAAGGACTCCCACCAAAGCTACTGGGTAGAGATGGAGCAGTGGAGAAGTGCTTTGCAGGAGAGTCCTAGGTGCTCAAGCCAGGCAAGACAGGATGCTGCTGCAGGGGAGCTGCTGTCAGGTTTTCTTGTAATTCCAAACAGATGTCACCGGCTGAGACAGAGAGATTAAGTCAATTTGATAAAAGAAATGCAAAAAGGGTCTGCTTTCGCCTCTACCACACAAGTCACCAGCAGGAAGGAAAGGCATCCACGGGCTCAGCCACAAGCTCTGAGAGAGAAAAACAAAACAACTTTTCTTGTTTGGGGCTCTGTTTGTTCAGCAAGCGCTTCCTGGAGGCGGGCTGGATGCCAAGCTCGGGTTTGGTGCTTTGACCATTATAAGCACAACAGGCATGCACTGCAGGGGCTAGAACCCGGGGCCTTACAGGTGCTAGACTTGTGCTCTGTAATCAAGCCACACATGTTTTTCTTTTTTTGTTTAATTGTCTTTTGAGATAAGGTTTTGCCAAGTTGTCCAGGATGACTGTGAACGTGGGAACTTCCTGCTTTGGCATCCAAAGTAGATGGGATTCCAGATGTGCACAACCACACCCAGCTAGCTGGAAACTCTTAAAGGACACTGCCCAAGGAGAGTCTCACCTTCTGGGGAAACTTCAGCTCCTCGGTTCTGTATCAGCTACTTTTCCCTCTGTCTCTTCTCAGACAAGGGCCACTGTTGCTCTTGGGAGCCTTCTCCTGTGGAAGTGCTCATCTAGGCTGCTGCGTCTGAGGCTGGTGACTGGCCAGGAGACCCTCTTGACTGGCTAGCTCTTCCCTAGAGTGCAAACAGAGGCTGAGGGTGGGCAAAGGGTCATGTCAGTTGCTGTCTCTCTCATTAGAAATCTTAAGGAACATGGAGCCTGAGACAAAATGTTAAGAAGCTTGGCTTCCACTGGAGGCCTTGTGGGGTTTGGAGTGAGTCACTTTGACAAATCATTTCTGGCCAGGCATTGGTAGTGTACGCCTTTAATCCCAGCATTAGAGAGCCAGGCCCATCTCTGTGAGTTTGAAGCCAGCCTGGTCTACAGAGTGAGTTCCAGAACAGCCAGGGCTACAAAGAGAGACACTGTCTAAAAAAAAAAAAAAAATCAAAATCAAAACAACAACAATAAAGAGAGGGTCAGGGTAGCCTCCTGAACTGGAAGCCAGGCTGGCCACTAGCAAGCCCCATTAATACTCTTGTTTCCATCTGCCACAGCAAAAGGGTTATTGGCCATGCCTGGATTTTTATGTAGGTTCTAGGGATTTGAACTCAGGTCCTCACACATAAGTACTCTTACCCACTGTGCCACCTTCCTAGCCTGGAGCAAGTCACAGTCTGTCTCCTGAGCTACAAAACAGAGGTAGACCATGAGCTCTGGGTCTAGTTTTGGATTTGGGGGTTTGCTTTGTTTCTTTGATGTTGTTTGTTTTTGTTTTGTTTTCTGAGGCAGGGTCATGTGTAGTCCACATACCTCAAACTCGTTACATAAGGCTAGCTTTGAACTCCTGACTCCTGTCAAGAGTTGGGATGCTAGCCTTGACCTACCACACCCAGCTTGTTTTTGTTTTATAAGACAAGATGCCAGTCTCGCCTGGCCTGGAACTTACTGGATAGCCCAGGCTAGCCTGAAACCCTTCCAGTCCTCCCACCTCCGTCTCCCTCGTGCTGGGATTGCAGGCATGAGGCAACACCAGCAAGTTTGTTGAGGCTGTTACTGTTTTTGTTTTTGTTTTTTTTTTCTGTCCTGTAAGAGTGAGTTATTAGGCCAGGTGTGACGGCACACACCTGTGACCCCAGCATTCAGGATGAGGTTGCCTGGGCTACAAAGAAAGAGCCTGTTGCAAAGACAAAGCAAACTGGATGTGGTGCTGGGCATCCATGATCCCAGCACTCATAAGTGGAGGCAGAGGAGTCAGGTCAAGACCTGGGCTCTTACACCTCTCCAGAGGAAGGGACAAAAGAGACAGGAGGAGCCGCTGGGGGCTAGCCCAGAAGCAGTCCTTCTTGGTTGTCCAACTAGTTTTCTGTTTGGTTTGTTTTAATTAATATTTATTCGCTTTTGTTTTCTATGCATGGGTGTTTCACCTGCATATATGTTTGTATACACGTATGCCCAGTGCCTTTGGAGCCTAGGCGAGGGGGGTTGAATCCCCTGGAACTGGAATTACAGATATTTGTGTTAAGAGCACTTGCTGCTTTTACAGAGGACCTGAGCTCTGTGGCACCCGCATTGGACAGCTCACAACTGCCTTTAATCCCAGCTTCAGAGGAATCCAACGCCCTCTTCTGGCCTCCACAGGCAAAAACCACATACATAATTAAAAATAAAAAGACCAGTGCTGAAAAGTATTAAATTTGGAAAAATCATAGCAAGCCAAGTTCTCGGGAAGAGAGAATCAACTCATTGTAATAGCAGAAACCTCAGTTTTTAGTACATATTATTGTGTCTTGTTCTCTCCTTCCAGAACGTGTCCCTTATCCCAAATGGTACTCACTCTTCTGAACACTGTGTCATCTAGGAAAGTTAGATAATACTATTTTGTAAGTTAGGAACAAGGAATGTCTTTCTTTCTTTTCTTTAAATTTGAAAGGTCTTGTATATCCCAGACTGGCCTCAAACCTAACATGGTATGTAGCTAATGCTGACCTTGAAAGTCTTTTTGTTTGTTTTATTTTTGGTTTTTTTTTTTTTTTTTTGGTTTAGTTTGGTATGGCATTTTGAGACAGGGTTTCTCTTTGTAACTTTGCCTGTCCTGGAACTTGTCCTGTAGACCAGGCTAGCCTAGTTCTTAGAGATCTGCCTGCCTCTGCCTCCTGAGTACTGAGATTAAAGGTGAGGGCCACCACAGGCTGGCTTGTTTGTTTGTTTTTAATGTGTGTTTGGGCATATGTGTGGGTGTGTGCATGAGGACAATCTTGAGTGTCCATCTCATCTTCTACCTTATCGGACACAGGGTCTCTCTTGTCATTCACTACTCTATGTGTACTTCAGGCTAGCTTCTGGGGATTTCACAGTCCCTGTCCCTGGGGTTACAGATGTGCACTATTGTGTCTGGCTTTTCCCTGGATCCTAGAAATCTGAATTCAAGTAATTATGTTTGAGCAACAAGCACTTTGCCCACTGAACCTAAACTCTAGATCCTGCTCCCTCTGCCTCCTGAGTAATGGGATTATAGACATTGCCACTACATCCGATTTAAGAAACACAAGGGCTGGAATCCAGAACTTCAGGCACTCAACCCCTGAGCTGTGTCTCCAGCTCTGACACACAACATTGATTGAATAAAATGATGGAAATGCTAGAGAAACATGCTCTTTGCTAGTGCAACACGCACTAGTGCATTGTTCATGGCCAGCAGGCTCATCTCTCTCAGCCTGCCACACTCACCCTTGCCTTCAAGAAGGTCTATACTTTGTCAGATAGCATGATAAGCACCGAATTCAAGTTCTGCCACTAAATCTCTGTCAAGTTTGAGTCGAACTTGGATCTTCCTGGGGCCTCCTATTGGGTCCCTGATCCATGTGATTGCCATGAGAAGAATTCCAGTGAGTACGGTGGCCTACAGAGGACAGAGTTCATAGCAGAGTAAATCAAGGCATTCTCCAGGAGAGAAGGCAGACTTGAACCCTCTAGAAAGGGGAGAATGGACAACGCCAGAGAAACCACTGTGCTGATGCACATTTTTAGGGAGGCTTTGTTCTATTTCATAAATATTTCAGAAAGTCAGGGGCTGTTTCCTGACCAGGTGATTGACAGGCCCACTAGGATTAACTCTTAAGGGAGGGGACAAGAATATTTGTTCTTTCTGAAGACGATAGCTAGATGAAAAAATTAGGATATTTCTCTTTTAGCTATGCATCTATTGAGAGAGAGAGAGAGAGAGAGAGAGAGAGAGAGAGAGAGAGAAAGAGAAAGAGAAGAATTGGTTCTCTCTTCCTGCTTGCTTTGAGGCAGGGTCTCTCTTTTCTTCCTGTCATTAAATTTCCCACTGAGTCTCCTATCTCTGCCTCCCATCTTACCCTCAAGTGCTGAGATTAAAGAGCCAATGGGCTAGCTTTTTGTTTTCATATAGGTTCCAGGATCAAACCCTGCCTAGCAAATGCTTTTACCCACTAAGCTGTCTGGTGTCTAGTGTTAGGAGCTTTGGATCAGTTTCAAAAGCCTCATTTCCACATCAGAATCCTGCTGTTTCAGCTCCTACTTTCACAAGTTGCTGATTATGAGGGTGGGATCCATCCTGCAGACTGCTACTGTTCTCCAGCAACCACACAGGCACATCAGAACAAGACCAGCCTAAGGTAACTTCCAGCTCTTAGATCAGAGAGACCTCCAAGGGTAGAGGGAAGGCGGCTGGAGAGATGACTCAGCAGTTAAGGCCACTTGCTGCTCTTCCTGAGGACACAGATTCATTTTCCACTACCCCCATCAGATGGCTCACAAGCTCCTATAACTAACTCCAGTTTCAGAGGATGTGATGTCCTCTTCTAGCCTCCACGGGAATGTGAGTGTGTGCATGCACACACAGAAAC